CCCCCCGCCCCCCCAAAGGTGAAGCCATCCCTGGATGAGATCCCTCCCAGTGACGATTTCCTTTCTCTCTTACAGTCAGATATTGGGTTTGGGAAGCTGGAAACCTATGTTAAACTGGACAAACTGGGAGAGGTGAGTAGACTACCAAACCCCTGTAAGGATTTAAATTAAGTTAGAAGGGCAGCTCGAAGTGCAAAGGGCACTGTAGCCCAATTTCTTCATATCTAGCAACTTTTAGACCAAGTTCAGACTTAGCCCTGTAGCTTTAAAAGATGTTTCCTCCAAATGTTATGGAGCGTATCGGCGTTGTGCCAGCCTGCTAAATGGTCTGCATGGCTTTTATTTTCTCTCTCCTCACCCAGGGCACTTATGCCACTGTCTTCAAGGGACGCAGCAAGCTGACTGAAAACCTCGTTGCCCTGAAGGAAATCCGCCTGGAGCACGAGGAAGGGGCACCTTGCACGGCCATACGGGAAGGTGAGGGCAGGAGGGGCTTTTCCCCATCACAGCCCTCATGAGCAATGCCGGGTCGCAGGCGGGTTTGGGACGGGGGGTGGAGGTGGACATCTCCCGCAGTCACGCAGAGGACGGTCCCAGGTCCTGGTGCTCCAACCTGCCGCCTCCTCTCCTTGCAGTGTCGCTGCTGAAGAACCTGAAACACGCCAACATCGTGACCCTGCACGACATCATCCACACGGAGCGTTCCCTCACCCTCGTCTTCGAGTACCTGGTAGGTCTGGGGGGGCTTTCTGCGGGAACGGGGGGACGGCTGCCTTTCTGCCCCAGGGGGTGATGGGGACCGAGGGAGGGACAGGCTGACGTGTGCTTCCCGTTGCAGGACAACGACCTCAAGCAGTACCTCGATAACTGTGGGAACCTGATGAGTGTGCACAACGTGAAGGTAAGATGGTGCTGCCTGGGACGCCGTGACCCTGCCTCTCCCCGCCTGCTCACCCTGAGAGCATCCCAGGGTGGTGAGGCCGCATACCCCTTCTCTCTTCGGTTCAGCCTTCTTACTCTTCTTTGACCTTTTTCAGCCCTCTCTGATGCTCCACCAGCATTTCTCCAGTCACTGCTACCCTAAATAAAATTACTGTGCATGCAGGCTTTGTTCATCCCCTTTTCTGGACTGCTGGTGGTGGGCCCAAACACTTGTCTACAGCGTGTCCCACCCCAGGCCAGCTTCGAGGGGTCTTTCCCGGCCAGGAGTTTGAGAGCCCTTGAGGCAGACTCACCTTTGGTGCCCCGTGTCCCTGTGCTAAATGCGATCCCCTTCTCCTCCTCGCAGATCTTCATGTTCCAGTTGCTGCGTGGTCTGGCTTACTGCCATGGGAGAAAGATCCTGCACCGAGACCTCAAACCCCAGAACCTGCTCATCAACGAGAGAGGAGAGCTCAAGCTGGCCGACTTCGGTAGGTGGGCCTCCCGGGGGGAGATGCAGCATTGCAAGGAGGTGCAGCGAGGTGCGGCTCCTTCATGCCCGTCCCTTTCGTCCTCAGGACTAGCCAGAGCCAAGTCAGTCCCTACCAAAACGTATTCCAATGAAGTGGTCACGCTGTGGTACCGCCCCCCCGATGTCCTGCTGGGATCTACCGAATATTCCACACCCATCGATATGTGGTGAGCCACGGCTCCAAACCGAGCTTCCCGGGGTCTCCAAGAGTGGGGGTCAGGGCATTTCCATCTGTTTGCCAGTGCGGCACCGTACGTGCCCACAGTGCTGGTTACACCAGAGGGTGGTGGGTTCTCCCAGAGGCCGTGCTGTTTTCTGTGTCCCCTGGGGCTCAGGGTCTTTGGAGCATGTTCTCCGCATCGGGGGTGAGTGGTTACCCGTAGCAGAGAAGGGACACAGCTCCTGGAGCTCGTTTCCCTCTCCAGGAACGTCAGCCCTGGCCGAGGGGTGGTGGGGCATCCACAGGGCTTCTCCCTCACTAACCCCAGAGCCTCTGCTGCCGCTCTAGGGGCGTTGGGTGCATCCACTACGAGATGGTCACCGGGCGGCCCATGTTCCCCGGCTCCACGGTGAAAGAAGAGCTGCATTTGATCTTCAGGCTGTTGGGTGAGTCTTCTGCTGTCTCCCGGATCCCCACGCGAGGGCAGTGCCTGACTGCAGGAGCGGGGACACAGCGCAGCCGCGGGAGCCTGGCGGGAGCCTGTGGGCAGGCGGCGTGGGCAGGCAGCGTGGGCAGGCAGTGTGGGCAGAGGCTGTGCCCACAGCCCCCCTCCAGGCTTGCAGTCAGCAGAGGGGTGATGGCGAGGGGCTCCGTGGGATGCGGGGGAAATCTGTGCCCTCTCTCCCGGGCAGGACTCGCGTGCGTCAGGCTGTTCGCACCGAATGAGCATGATGGGTTTCCCTCTCTCCCCCTCCCAGGAACCCCAACAGAAGACACCTGGCCTGGAATAACATCCAACGAGGAGTTCAAGGCTTACAATTTCACGCAGTACCGAGCCCAGCCGTTAATAAACCACGCCCCAAGGTATCTCCTCGAGCAGGGACGTGTAAGGCATGGTGGGCTTGTGTGGTCATGAAGGGGAGCCTGGGGACACCCAGGCTTCCTCCTTGTGGGGTGGCAGCTTCTGAGTGCAGCTGCGCACGGGAAGGTCCCAGCTGCCACTTGTCCCTCGCATGGGCTATTGCACTGTCTCCTGGGTGCAATGATGCTCCATTTTTTGTTTCCTCCTTCTCTCAGGCTGGACTCGGAAGGCATTGACTTGCTGATGAACCTCCTTCTGGTGAGTGGTGGAGCAGTCCAGGTGGATCTGCTGAAGTGAAGGTGCTCTGACTGCCCTTACACAGGCAGTAGAGGAGCTGTGACTGCAGAATAAGCCGTGTCCCTACAGCTATGGCCTTGTAGATCCTACCCCAAACCACCTCCCAGTAAGGACGGTGAACCATCCTTCACCCTGTGTCCTCTCACACACAAGTGTGATACCTGATGATCCATAAGGTACGGTGTGGCCGGTGCATTATGGTCACACGACGTGTGCTGTCCCTTGTGCACATGCAGATGGCACTGGGAATTGCCTGCACACACACACACACACCCCCCATGGTGTGCACAGCGTTTGGACGCGCTGTCACCCACCCAGCAGGTGGAATCGCTTGGGTGCTCACGTGGGCATGGGTGCACAGACGTGCACGCAGCCTGTACGGGGCCTCTGCGCCGTCTCGCACGTGCAGACTGTGTGTAACTGCCTTTCTCTGGGGCTTTGTGCAGTACGAAGCCAAAGGCCGGATTTCGGCGGAGGCAGCCCTGCGGCACGCTTACTTCAAGAGCCTGGGGGAGCGGGTGCATCTCCTGCCTGACAGTAAGTGCGCGCTGTCCTCGTGCCGGGGGGACGCGGAGCGAAGAGGTGGCGCGCAGCCCGAGGGTGGGGGTTTGCAGCCGAGTCTCTTCGGATGCCTCTTGTCTCGGCTCGCTCAGAGCTGCTCCTGCAGCAGGGTGGGCTGTGGGAGCCTGGTGGCTGCGAGAGCGAGAAACTATTTGGGTAGGACCGTGCAGGGCAGGGGCGCGAGAGAAACGCTCCGGTGAGGTGCAGTGCTGCAGTTGGGCACTGCCGTCCCTCCGGGCTGTGGGTTTGCAGAGCGCCGCCGGCTCCGCCAGCTGGACTGACCCTTCTCTCTCTGCCCCCTCTGCCTAGATGTCTCCATCTTCTCCCTGAAGGAGATCCAGCTTCAGAAGGACCCTGGCTACCGAGCCTCAGCCTTTCAGCAGTCAGGTAGGACTGGGGAGAACCACGCTGACCTCTCCCAGATGGTGCCACGGGCTGCGCTGGCACTGGGGTCACTCCCAGTGGGTCCCACATAGGAAAAAGCCAAACCTGCTCCCTGCTTCAGTCCACAAATTACCCCTGGGGCATCCTTGCTTGTCACCTACCATGGTACCAAAGTCACATCTAGGTGCCCTGAGGCACAGGTCCCTCTATGAGTGCTGTGGGCTTGTAACCTCCTAACCCAGAGCACCGCAGGGCTCAGCATCTCTGCAAAGTGCCGCTCGCCGTCTGACCTCTCTGACCCATCTCTCTCTCTCTCTTCCTCAGCCCGAGGGAAGAACAGGAGGCAGAGTATATTTTAAACTTGGATCTCGTGTTCCCCTTGTCACCATGGAGATCAAAGCACTGAGAAAGGAGACGGCAACACGCTCCCACCTGACCCACCGCAGAATTACTGACTCGAGCAGGACGATGCTGAAGCGCCCTTGGCCGCGGGCTCTCCCCTGCCCGTCCCCACAACCACAGCCCCTAGCAGCTGCTGTTGATGGACCTGTGGCCTTTTTCCCCTCTTATTTTCATGTTGCCCTCATCAGATGTGAGCTGCCACCCTCTTTGTTGGTGCTGTAGTGCGGAGCTGCCCTGGGCATTGCCCGGAGCGCAGGATCGTGCGCTGCCCCCGGGAACCGCTCGCTGCCCTCAGGGGGATGAGCCGGGCATGGGGAGGTTTTGTGAGC